TCGCTTTTGAAGCGAGGCGAGCCCCTGTCGCTTTTTTGCGTTTCTCGCTCTCAAAAACACTGGCCAAGCGGTCAGTGATGCAGGTTGTTAATTGTTAGCTACCAAAGAGAATGTGTCACCCTAATCAAGGTCATAAATTTGAGTGTACCCTTTAACAATAGGCAAGCCTTCAGCCAATCAGTTTTGCATCTGGATCCACTTTCACAGAATAAATATAGTGGCACCTAGCAGCAAATTTGACCTACCGTCAATGGAATCAATTTCTAAGTGATATTGGCAAGGAAAGCAGTTATCTTCTCTGTGATGACATCTCGTTATCTTAGATATTCCAATGTCTCACTAATAGTCTTTTCTATAATAGCATTAGTCAAAGCTGATACAAATCAAAACATGAGGACATACAATGATAGTTCAGAAAGTTATAAATGTGATGTAAATAATGAGAAGAACAAAGACATTTGCGTATCACAATGGACAGAGTGGGGGTATCTGCTAATGTCGAGCGGGTGAGGGTTAAAGTACGAGTAATCAGGAGTTGCCAGCATACATGTTTCATGTGAAGAATTATCATGGGTGTTAGTAGGAGTACGAGAATGACATGAGTAGACTTGGAGAGGAGGAGGACTGACTTGTCATATAGGAAATATATGACTTAGTAGTTTGTCTTATCCAGTATTCTAAAAAGACACCAGCTTTTTAGTTTGTGATATATAAAATTCTGCATCTCTACTGTGAGCTTTTCGGTCCTCGTAAATGGAGCACCAACTGGTTTTTTCTTTCTCAGAGGGGTCTGAGACAGGGAGATCCCTTTTCTCCTTTCCTATTCATTATTGCTATGGAGGGATTGAATGATATGTTGAAAATATCTCAGACAAACAATTGGATAAGGGGCTTCAAGGTGAATTGCAGGGCTGATAGCAACATGATGATTTCCCACCTGCAGTATGCTGACGACACTCTGGTGTTTTGTGAAGCTGATAGAGAACAACTGAAAGTATTAAGGGTGATCTTCATTCTTTTTGAAGCCACATCTGGACTACACATAAACTGGCACAAAAGCTTCATTTATCCAGCCAATGAGGTAATGGAGTTACAAAGTCTTGCTGATATTCTTGGTGGGAATGTAGGTGAACTGCCTACTGTATATTTGGGGATGCCATTGGGAGCCAAGAGCAAGTCAAAAGGAATTTGGAATGGTGTGCTAGAGAAATGTGAAAAGAAGCTAGCAAATTGGAACAATCAATATCTATCTATGGGAGGTAGATTAATCTTGATCAACTCTGTACTTGATGCCATGCCTACTTATATGATGTCCCTATTCCCAATTCCTGCCGATGTAGTGAAGAGAATTGATGCGTTAAGAAGGAATTTTTTATGGGAAGGCAATAGTGAGAAGAAGTTCCATTTGGTTAAATGGATTTCTCTTACTACTAGCAAGAAGACAGGGGGACTGGGAATTAAAAACCTGAGAGTTCAGAATCATAGTCTGATGATGAAGTGGCTATGAAAATTTGCAGCAGATGAACAATCACTGTGGAGAAAGGTCGTGAGGGAGAAGTATGGTGTGGAAGGAAGATGGACAACCAAACTTGTGAGAAGTCCATATAGTGTTAGTTTGTGGAAGTCAATTAGGAATTTGTGGCCAAAAGTTATTAACAAGTCCAAATTCAAAGTAGGAAATGGTATGAAGATTTCTTTGTGGGATGACAATTGGCTAGGCCAAGGACCCCTGAAGCTACTTTTTCCTGGCATATATATTTTGAATCAACAACAACAAGCATCATTAGATGAGGCATGGACTAATCAAGGTTGGAATCTTACATTCAGAAGACTACTAAATGACTGGGAGATTGACAGAGTAATAGAGTTTTACAATACTTTGGAGCTATTCAGTGGAATCAACTCTACTCAAGATCACATGATATGGCAAGGGAATAGGCATGAGAAGTTCTCTGTTAAGTCTACTTATAAGGAATTCAACCTTTCTAATTATCAGGTTGGATGTTGGCCATGGAAGATGATATGGAAAGTAAAAATCCCCTACAAAGTTGCTTGCTTCACACGGTTACTAGCAAAAGAAGCGGTTCTAACACAAGATAATTTAATCAAGAGAGGTTACCACTTGTGCTCTAGATGTTACTTATGTGGAGAGGAGGCAGAGACAATTAGTCATCTCTTTTTGCATTGCAAGTTCACTGTAGAAATATGGAGAATCCTCATCAGCTTAAGGGGAATTTTATGGGCAATGACGAGAAGATTACTTGATGTTCTAGCTTGCTGGAATAAAGAGGGCAATCTTTCTAATCATAAAGAGAGATGGAGAATTGTCCCAACCTGCATATGGTGGACAATTTGGGAAGAGAAAAATCAGAGATGTTGACAAGTCCAGTAACATCCAGAAGATGAAGATGAAATGTCTAGCTCTTTTCTATTTTTGGTGTAAAGGAAAGTTTTTGCAGGATCATGAATCCATTTTTGATGTGCTAGATTCCTTGTGAGAAGACCAAGGATTATAAATGTTTTCTTTTTTTTTGGGCACTCCCTTTGTCATTATGGGTGATTTCACAATTTTAGTGAAGTCTATATTCTGATATACAAATATGTTACCTTGTCAAAAAAAAAAGTATTCTAAAAAGACACACTAGGAAGAATAAGGAAAGGATGATTGAGAGAATTGTTTAAGTTTGATTACTCCCTCAAGTTTGAATGGGCATTTATACTAAGTACTTAGATTATTGTGTCGGTAATTTACATATTTTTGGCAAAATTACATCTCCTAACCTAGGTAAAATTGCGTTGGTAATTTACAAGTTAGTTCTCATAAAAACTCAGGACTAATAGGAATGTATCAACTGGTCGCCATAAGCATCTTAGACCAGGGAAATCCATGAAGACATTGTTGTTTGTTTCTCACACATGTGCTTGGAGCATGCAATAGAGTGACAGACGGTTTTCCAGGGGCTTCTCCAGTCCTGTATATTCTCCTTCATGAGTTATCCATCGTGCGGACGAGAACCAATAGTTATGAGAAATAAGCATGGCCAAGAAAATGGGTATGAGCTGACAATGTATCTATAACATAGATAATTTATTCATCTACTTCTTGCCAATGTTTCTGGCCCACAAACCCTCAGATCCCTCAAAACCTACTTTTCAGAAGAGGACTCTGGGCTCTTTTTTAAATGAGGAGGCCCAATTTCTTTTTTCGGCCCAGATTACTACACCTCACTAGAAAATAGCAGACCCATTAGTCGATGAAATAGAGGCAATCTCTCTCTCCCCTCTTAACAGTGCTCTATCTTCTGAAGTAAAAAAGAACGAAGAAAGAGAAATCCCTCTCTCACTCACACAGAAGGCTGAGCAGCAGGCACATCACGAAGATGGTGATAATTATGTGGATGCCATGACTAATATTGACGGCGAGGGTATTCTAATTGATGGGGTGGGAGGCAGAAACGACATGCAAGTGACAGTGCAAATTGAACCTTAAAACTGGGCAATCGAGGAAGCTGAACCTCTGAAGATGCAATTGCAAAGTGACGATTTAGAGGGGGAGATGGACGCAACCTTATGGGTTCATCAGAATGTAATTAAGCTCAGCAAACAATTTGGGGTTGATTTCCAGGGATGCGAAGAGGATGCCTTGGCTTTATTCAAGAAGATTGACAGATGGAGGCAAGCGAAGAGGCAAGAACCAGAACCAGTAAATACGGTGACTCCTAAAAAGAAAGGCAACCGTGAGTTAAAGGGCCTGGTATTTGACATGAAGTTCAAAAGTTCTGGGACAAGGAATATGGGGAAAGAAATCTCAATCATTGATCAATGAATGTGAAAATCATTTCATGGAACGTGAGGGGACTGAATCGCAGGAATAAGAGAAGGGTGATCAGAAGCTTGATCCTTAACTGGAAAGCTGATGTATTCTGTTTTCAAGAATCGAAAATAGAAGGGGATATAGAAGGGATTATCAAAGAAATTTGGGGGGTCAGGGGTATTAAATACGGGCAATTGGAGGCTAGTGGTACTAAAGGTGGTATTCTAATGTTATGGGATAGTAAAGTTTGGAAAGGGGAGGTAGTAACCACGGGTGCTCATTCATTGACTTGCAAATTTGAGTCACATTCTCAAGACTTTAATTGGCACATGACAAGAGTTTATGCTCCTAATTGCATCAGAGAAAGAAGGGAAGTGTGGTGGGAAATAGGGGGTACTAGAAGTCTGTTCACAGGGCCTTGGGTAGTTGCCGGTGATTTTAACACAGTCAGATTTCCCTCTGAAAAGAGGAATTGCAGCAGAATAACCAAAACTATGACTGAGTTTTCTAATTTCATTGAAGACATGGACTTGGTTGATCTTCCATTAGAAGGGGGCATCTATACATGGGCTAGAGGGAACAGTCAGGAGACCATCTAAAAAATTGATAGGATCCTGGTATCGATGGAGTGAAATGAGTATTTTAAAAACATCAAACAAGAAACTCTTCCTAGAGTTTGTTCTGATCACACACCCTTAATGTTACAGTGTGGCAGCTGGGATCACAGTAAATCCTACTTCAAGTTCGAAAACTGGTGGTTGGAGACTGAAGGTTTTTCTGACAGAGTCCAGAACTGGTGGACATCCTTCATCTTTGAAGGAAGACCGGATTATATCCTTGCTTGCAAACTAAAAGCCTTAAAAGGTAAATTGAGAGAATGGAGCCTGAATAGCTATGGCAACCTGGAGAGGGGGAAAAATCTCATACTGACCCAAATAGTTGAGTTGGATGCTATCCAACAACAGAGGAACCTTAATGAGGAGGAGATGGCCAGGAGAACAAAACTCTCCATCGAATTTGAAGAATTTGCTACAAAGGAGGAAATTGCTTGGAGGCAAAGATCAAGGGCTTTATGGCTCAAACAAGGAGACAGGAACACCAAGTTCTTCCAAAGAACTGCTAATGCACATAAAAGATTCAACAACATCAACAAATTAGAGGTAAATGGGAAGAGTATTGAAGAACGAGCTGAGATCAAAAGGGAGATTATCGACTTTTATCAGAAACTGTACTCTGAAACAGAAGTATGGAGACCTACCTGTAATATGAACAATTGGCTGAAGTACAGACATTGCAAAATGTTTTCGAGGAGAATGAAGTTTTAGAATGCTTAAAGACTTGTGCAATAGACAAAGCTCCGGGACTGGATGAGTACACTATGGGCTTTTTCATCAAATGCTGGGACGTGGTGAAATCAGACATAATGGCTACTATTCAAAACTTGTATTCCCAGGAATTCTTTGAAAAGAGCTTCAATGCCACTTATGTGGCATTGATACCTAAGAAGTGTGGTGCCAAGGAGCTAAGGGACTTTAGGCCTATCAGCCTCATAGGCAACATATATAAACTGATCTCCAAGTTACTCACTGAAAGATTGAAAAGGGTGATGCACAAGTTGGTAGACTCACAACAAATGGCATTTATAAAAGGGAGACAAATCACATATGCAGTTTTGATCGCAAATGAATGTGTAGATTCCAGACTCAAGGAGAAGAGGCCAGGAATTATGTGCAAGTTAGATATTGAAAAGGCATTTGACTATGTCAACTGGGAATTTTTGCTAGGAACTCTCCAGAAGATGGGTTTTGGTAGGAAATGGGTCAACTGGATCAGATTCTGTGTAAGCACTGTCAAGTTCTCCATCCTGATCAATGGAGCCCTTGAAGGCTTTTTTCCTTTGGGAAGGGGATTGAGACAGGGAGATGCCTTATCCCCTTTCTTGTTCATTCTTGCTATGGAAGGGCTAAACAATATGTTAAGAATATCACATGGCAATGGATGGATTAAGGGCTTCAATGTGGCAAGAAACCAAATTGACAGACTGGAGGTTACTCACCTTCAATATGCAGACGATACCCTCATTTTTTGTGATGCTGATGTGACCCAAGTAAAGTATCTAAGAGTGATCCTCATAATTTTCGAAGCCATCTCTGGGCTCCATATCAACTGGAGGAAAAGTTAGATTTTTCCGGTCAATGAGGTATCTAATATTCAGCTGCTGGCAGGAATTCTGGGAGGTGAAATTGGTTTTATCCCAACCATTTATTTGGGGATGCCTTTGGGTGATAAAAGCAAATCCAAGGATATGTGGAATGGAGTCCTGAAAAAATGTGAGAAAAAGCTAGCAAGATGGAAATCTAACTACATTTCTTTGGGTGGTAGATTGGTCCTCATTAACTCTGTGCTAGATGCCCTTCCCACATATATGCTGTCCCTATTTCCTATACCTGCCAATGTAGAGAAAAGACTGGACACCTTGAGAAGAAACTTCCTCTGGCATGGAAACAAAGAGAAGAAGGGCTTTCACCTAGTCAAATGGAAAACATTGACCCTCAACAAAAAAAGAGGTCTGGGGGTCAGGAACTTGAAAATGCAGAATAAAAGTCTTTTGATGAAGTGGCTTTGGAAGTTTACCAGGGAGGATCAAGCTTTGTGGAGCAAGGTAGTAAAGGCCAAATATGGAAAGGAAGGATTCTGGATGACTAAGGAGGTAAACAATGCTTATGGTACTAGCTTGTGGAGAACTATAAGGAACCTGTGGACAAATTTTGCTGATAAACTTCAATTCAAAGTAAGAGATGGAAGGAAAACTCTTTTTTGGGAAGATAACTGGTTAGGAATTGGTTGTCTTATGAATCTTTTTCCAGACATTTATGCCCTGAATCAACAACATAGAGCTACAATACATGAACTTCGGGGTACACAAGCATGAAATATCATCTTCAGAAGACCTTTACATGATTGGGAGTTACCCAGAATTACAGATTTCTTTAACACTCTGGAGCTATATAATGGACTGCAGGAGGGAGATGATACACTTAGTTGGAGCCAAAACAACAGTGGGGTGTACACAGTCAGTTCAGCCTACAAGTACCTAAACCAAGATGGTGGACAAGTCAATCTATAGTCTTGGAAACACATATGGAGGGTCAAGATACCATACAAAGTGGCATGTTTTTCTTGGCTGGTAGTTAGAGAAGCAGTTTTAACACATGATAACCTGAGGAGAAGGGGAGTGTCAATCTGCTCGAGGTGTTACTTATGTGGCCAAGAGGTAGAGACAATCAACCATCTGTTTCTACATTGTAGAGTGACTAGTCAGTTATGGGACTTATTCATCAACCTCAGAGGCATTAGATGGTCAATGCCAGGAAGAATATCCGAACTATTGTCAAGCTGGAATGAAGGGGGAAGTGCACTGCTTCCAACAAAGACAGATGGAAAATTGTCCCTGCAACTATTTGGTAGACAATATGGAAGAAGAGGAACGCAGGATGTTTTGAGGATTCAACTAGTTCTATTCAGAAAATTAAGATGAATTGTATTCTTCTTTTTCGTTTTTGGTGTAAAGCAGAATATAGTGACGACTTAGAGTCGATTCTACATGTCCTAGATTCCTTGTAAGAAGAGCAAGGATTGTAATAGGGAGCTTTGTAGGCTTTTGTAAACTCTTTCTTTGTGCTGGTACCATAAGCATTGTTTACCTGCTTAGTCATCCAGAATCCTTCCTTTCCAAGACCATAGATTCCTTTGTGCTGAAGATTGATTAATACAAATTTACATGTTACATTGTCAAAAAAAAAATGTTTCTGCTGTCGTAGTAAACTTTGCCTGTGAAATACTGCTGCTTTAATTTCATGCATCAAACTCCATGACTGAAAAGTAGCATGCCTCTATTCTGGTAATAATTTCTAATACTCTCTTCTTGCTCTCAATATTTCATGTGCTCGATTAAGCTTTTCAACTCAATCGACAGTGCACTCCAGCTGGATGAGTGTTGCTTCTACCCTTGGCTTGGCGTTTATTTAAAAATGGTCTTGATTGCATTTCAGAACCATTAGATGTTAAGAATGCTAAATCTACTGTTAGGAGCTTTAAAAAACCACATGGGTGTCAATACCAATTTTCAGATAGAATTTGCTTCGAAGAGTGATTTTTCCCTCTCTAACGCACAAATCTTTATCCCTCGAAGATGGTACACAGTTAAAATCATGATTTTGTATGATCGTTTGTTAAGCACGTTCGTACAACAATTAAACTATTCTTTATTTACTGCAACTGTACAGTTCTGGAAGAATGGCGTAAGCGAAAGATGGAAAGAGCCAGACAACGTGAACTTGGAAAGAATGGAACCACCATCTGACAGTCATAAATCTTTGACGGGGTTAAAAACATGGGATCATTTGATCGTTAGAGCTCGTATTATGAGGTCTATCAACTGTATGTATGCTATCATTGATTTGTATATTATCCTGTATCCAGATCTGCAGCACTCAACAATTTTATGCAACATGTAAAGTTTTTCCCTTTATTATGATCTCCTAGACTTTGAATTTGGATTGTGTGAATGTTTCTCTTTTGCTAAATTATGTCAGCGCAACGCAATTTCTCGAGGGGAAATGCTCTCAGCTCTTGCTTTAGCTTAGACTTCACCAACACAATGTAAGTTAATCTTATAGTTGTCCTAACGTTAAATAAAGCTGTATTATCCGTTCTCTAATGCTATAGTTATTTGTTTGTAGGGCTGGTGGGCATATATCGGGTAAAATCGATAGTCCGATCCGGAAAAAATTTATTGGGTTATTGGTATTGGGTTATTGGGTTATTGGTATTGGGTTATTGGGTTAACGATTCGGTAATGGTTTAGTGTTATTTTACTATTGAGTTATCAGTTCGGGTTACGGTTTGCCCAATTTATTAGGAAAAATGACACTAAAAATAATAATCGAAAAAATGTATAAAATTTGTATATTTTATATATATATATATATACAGTCTGTATGTTATATATAAAAATTATACAAATATTATACACTTTTTCGGCTACCAGATGTAAATAGTTTTTTATGCGGGCTAAAAGTGATAATACCCCAATTTATTAACGGTTTAACCGATAACCCAACTTTATAAAAATATGGTTATACCTTTAAGCATATAAATACATGTAAGGTTTCATTTTTCCAGTTCTCTCTTCTCCCAATTTCTCTTAGGTCTCAGCTGCATTCTTCAAGACTCAAGTTCAAGTCTTCATCTTCAGAGACCGATAAACCAATTCTCCTAGCATCCCGTATTCACGCTGGATCTGGGAAGGGTCGCATCCCAAGGAATGTGATGTAGACAGTCAACCCAAATGCAATCATTAATTACTGCTTTTATATCTCATTGTGCAACTAATTTATCAAGTCTTTTAAATCAAGTCTATAATTATCCATTAAATTGACACATCACCGTCCATGTAAGCATTATGTAACTGTCAACTCAGCACCATGTCGAAGTTACGTTGTGCTAAGGGTGGTCGATTGATTATCATTTGTCTAAAAATTATATTGTGTATATACGTAAAATATAAGGATTTAGAGGTATATAACATATATTGAACGTCCTTTGTCGGTTTATTCCACTTCTTTCAAGTTTGAACACATTTGAAGAAATTCTTGGCTTCATGTTATTGTCCAGTTGGCTTCCTCGTCATTATCCAGTCAGTAATGATGCGTCATAAAATAGCTTCTTTCGATATACTTGACTTGATTTTCCAGATTTCTTTTACAAACTCAAGTTGATTCATTGCTTTAAATTCGAAAGGTTGTGTTGAAAGTCAAGGGAATTGATACAATTGTGTTTTAGAATATTCCATAAAATATAGGTAGTACTTATTTTATAATATTAAAAAATTAATTCTCCGGACAATAAATTAAAAGCTTTTGGCATTTTTTTCCCCGTAGTTTTATAAGAAAACCAAAAGGAAATAAATGTTTTAGAAGGAAAAGAAGAGGTGAAAACTTTGCCGCACGCCAAGGCGTCCAATGAAGAAGAAGATGATTTCTACAGGAAGAAATCCGTCAATTCCTCAAGAAATCATCTATGAAATATTCTCATGGCTTCCTGTTAAATCTTGAATGCGTTTCAAGTGCGTTACCAAATTTTGTAATTCCCTTGCATCAGAATCTGATTTTTTGAATATCCATGTTCGTCGCTCTATGACTCGTCCTGGTGGAACAGAGTTCTTTTCGCAGGAAACGAGACCAGTTTTTTACACTACTGAACAAATAGAAGATGGAAGACCCTCTGCGTCCCTTCCTCAAATTAATGGACTCTATTACCACGCCCCTGCATATTCTGGTTTAGATTGCGTTAATGGTTTATTTTGCTTTTGGGGACCAACATTTGCTGGACCTGCAGCGATTTTCAATCCCAGTACAGGAGAAGTAAGATTTCTTCCCAACTTGAAGAATGATTTTGTTCAGTGTAACTATGCATTAGGTTTTGAATCAGAAGAAAAGAAGTACAAAGTTCTTTTGACAACTAAGCATGTTCAAGAAGGGTACAATAAATATTGGATTTTAACTTTAGGCATAGACAAATTATGGAGAGAGATTAAAAGTATTTCTCCTCGTGTTCTATGCATGCCTGGGGTTTGTATTAGTGGAGTTATTTATCGATTTGTTTACCATAAGAGTCAACTTGCTATAGATGCATTTGATGTTAAATCTGAAAAATTTAAAATTATTGGATCGTGGAAAAACTCGCATGATTACAAGTTGATGGAGATGAAGGGTAAACTAGCAGTCATGGATTATGAAAACACACATGTGGACACATCTTCTTGTGGATTTTAGAACATAATCCAACAAAACAATGGAAGAATCATATCATTCAATTCTCATGTTACGACATACAGTTTAGTACTATATCATCTTGCACGTCCCGTGATGGGAAGATTGTATTCATTATTAACTCAAGGCTGGAAAATTCTTATATGTGTTATGATGTCATGGAAAAGAGATGGAGAGCCTTAAGTATCAAGGAACTTCCCAAGGAGAGCTACATCAAACGCTTTTTAAATTACATAGAAAGTCTCTTCCCCTTAAGAAAATTTGAAATACCTGTTATTTTAAACTGGAAATCATTTTAACTTGTGTATTCGATTTGGATTATACGCCTATGAGATCCTAGCATTTAGTGTTAAATTAGTCTCCCCATTGCTTTTGAGTTCTTGTTTTTATGGAATATTTTTTTACTACCTAAGCAGTTCATTTTTTTTTATTCCTCTCCCTTGTAATTCCCTTTTGATCCCCTTAGTTGGAGCTATATTGCTTTGACTCGAACTCATGACCCTGGATTGTAGGTGGGGGGTGCTGACCATTTTGAGCAACCCCTCTTGTCGTTCTAGTTTTTATGGGATTCTTAATTTTCTAAAGAATCTGCAGCAGGCAATCAATCTCACAAGCTAAGCAAGCTAAGAAATTCGTTTCTTATGCTATAGTTATCGGTTAGTCCTTTTATAGCTTATCCTATTAAGTTGAAAGCATCAATCAAGCTGCTAATTAAATGCCTTTTGAAATTTCTATCCATTTAATTTGTTTATCAGGAGAAGTAAGAAAAAGATGAGTCAGAAACATGTCAATCATACTTGTGTTTAGGAATGCAAAATTTACAAAATATGTGAAGTATCTTTCTGACAGAGGCGGATGCATCCTTATAACATCGGGGTCATTTGAATCTGTACTTTCGATGCAGCGTATAAATTTGTGTGTAAAAATTCACTACGATTGTAGTAAATAATAGTTCTGAAGTCTGAACCCATATTTTTAAAAATATATTAGGTTCAATACTAAGCACTTATTTTTAGATGCTCGAGTGGGCTTTCGTATTGATCAGCTAAAGTTTGCATAAATGTTGTCCAATGTGATCCACTTTTTATACAGAGATCAATCAAATGAACCCTTTCTGCAGTCTTTTAGCAAATACAGCAGGTTCTAAATTCATGACAAGCTCTTCTTCGTCATTAGAATTCTTTTCAATATCTTCTTCTCTAGTAGTTGGAATTTTTCCCATCTCCCTATCAATTCTATGCTGAAGAGCGTCAGCGAAATAATACACAATTCTCTGGACTGGAGTACCTGTAGCAGAAGCAGACTGGTTACACAAGTTTAGAAATAGCACGATCAAACTTTCGAGTGGCAACCAGTTGAGCAGAAGCTTGAAGTAGTTCAGCTAAGTCCAAATCCTGCTCTAGTTCAGGAGACATACCAGAATAATTAATGATAAGGAATAAATCAAGATTCAACACGACAAACTGTAAAAAAAGTAACACTACAAGTAAGGGAACAAGTACGATAAGGAAAGACGTCGTAGGATATCTCTTAACACCTCATGTATATGTAGTTTATCTAACTACATCTCAATCCTAAACTAGTTGAAATCAATTATACGAATCCTCTATGCTCACTCCGTTCCGCATGTAAGTAGGAAACCTTTTTTGGAGAGGGGTAATATATATCTTACCACCCCGTTACAGATGTTACTGTTATTCCCGGTCAATATTGCTGTATTTGTAAATATTAATTCTGCAAAATATAAGTTAACGTAATGAAACAATAATAATAAATTCGAGCCCACTGAATTCACAGTGTTTCCTTAAGGAATTTAATCCCCTCCTAGTACCCAAGGTAATGGATTATTTCCTCCCAGGATAGAACGAATAACACACTGGTGTAGCGGTACTTCAAACCCCAGTGTTTCGGCGAACACAAAGTTCGGTAGCAAATCACACTTACAGTTGCTTTGTTT